CTGTTCATTTTACTGGACTGGCTACTAGGAGAGGTGGAGCTCGCTCTGCAGGGAAAACAGAGAAAACACAAGTTACAAGTATGTAAACAAAACCACAAGGTAATTTATGAAAAAGATGGGCAAATTAACAAGTGGGGATGTAATTGACTTTACTGAAGCCTTGTATTAAATTTACAACTTCTGTTAATACACAGAAATGTTCTCAGTAAATTTTACTTGCTATTAAAATGTTATGTATGCCCATTATTTCTTTTTTAAATACAGTACAAACATATTATAGTGTGACATTCTTTCATATGCTGCAGTTTAAACCTTTACAGGGGATATTTAGAGACATTTTTGGAAGCAAACACATGGCATGGCATTCAGTCATGGGTAAAACAGCCTACACATCACTTCCATGCTTTGCTTCAGACCATTTTTTTTGCAGCCAATGGGCTGTAATTTTAGGTCGTACCTGTAGGGACTAGAGGTGGGAGTCGTGCTCCGGCCACCAACGGGAGGAGTTCCAGGTTTTACATCCATCCCGCTGCCAAAGAGTTTTAGGTCCATGTCCATCTGCAACATGGTATAAAAGGATTTCTTTTCAATGGTTAGAGCAACCACTTTGTTTCACAAAGGACCATACAGACATACACTCTGAATACCTTGCTAGTTGGTGGTTGCATTATATTGTGGTTTGGGCCCATGATGCCTCGGTACGCTTGGGAGACCGTGGGCTGTCGGTTAATATTTGGTGGCTGTGCCTGAGGAGGCGTAGGGGGCAAGGCTAGCAGGGGCTGACCTCCAGCTGAGCCAAAGTTTGGCAGGGACAACTGAGAACCAGGCAGAGGGACTGTCACCTGTGAAAATAAAATGACTTATTTACTCTTTTTTTTTTAATTATTTGTTAAATTCACATCAACTTCAATTCAATCTAATTTTAATGTTTTGGCAAACTCCTGTTCAACTTGTAAAACATTCTAAAGCAGCACTCCAGATGGTCAAAATCAATGAAGCAAAAATGTGCCAATGAACTGCAAGTTCATACATTTGAGGTATTTCTTAAACCCAGGGAGCAATTACTAATATCCCAAACGTCGTGTTATACGTAGTCTTTAAGAAAAAGTCATGAGAACTGATGCAAGGCAATGGTAACCATTAAACCAATAAACTTATATTAAGAAAGCATTCCCATTTTAGCACCTTTTCTGAATAGCTTCTTAAAACATGAACATTTCTATGAAGTGTAATTTCTTGAGTATTGATTACCTGCTGCATTGCTGAACTGGGTGACTGGGTGTTGCTGTAGTAGCTGCTCTGGCCATGCTGCTGCACCTGCCCTGAGTACATGTTTGAATGCTGATTCATCCCCTGTCGAGCCTAACCATAAAACACAAATGTCATATTATTCACATGTAAATGGTGTGTTATACACTTTGATAATTTAATTAATTCTGAATTTCCACAGTCATTATTAAATAAGTATGTAAAATGTGTGAAATAGTCTTTTGAGCTGGTTACCTGAAGCAGGTGTGTGTCAATAAGCTGGGAGCCTCCCATGCCAGAGGGCTGGTTGAGCTGCGGCTCGAACAGAATGGGAATGTGTTGGGTGGATGATGGCTGCTGATAGGCCAGGTTAGACTGAGGCTTCCCCAGCTCAGGTGCTTGCACACCAGGGTAGCTGTGCAACGACGGTCCTGACAACATCATGGAAGGCTGCGACAAGCTGTTCTGCATGAATGCCTGCTGTGACCTAAGGGAAGACAGAGCAGCCAGATCATATGTCAAGAACAAGACACTAACAAAATGGAAACTCAATTCAATTGATGTGTGTGTGAGTGAGATATTGTGTGTGTGTGTGTATTACCTATAAGGCTGCAGGGAGGAACTGAACAAGTCTTGTGGCTGAGAGACTGGAGGTCCAGTGCCAAGTCCAAGCTGGGGCTGGTGGGTGTGTTGATGCTGAGGCTGACTTTGCAGAGGAGCGTAGATTGGAATGGGAATTT